CTGCATCAGTAAGGAATGCCCTTTATACCAAAGATTCTTCTAAGGTCATGCCTTGTCCTGTCCTCATATGGGACAGCAAGCCATGGCATACTACTTCTGTTGACATTGAATTCCATAAGGTCCCTATCTGTTGAGATCAAAACGATCTCGAAGCAGTCACCTTTTGCAGCCTTGAGGTTGTTGTATGTATCTGTAAGTTGGATAGTGAAGGCACAACAAGGTGGAGACCAATATGCACCAAAATATAGGCCTATGGTTTTACCAGTTAGTTCAGATATGGGTACCTGTATCAATAAGACATGTCAATGTCAAATGAATGTTACTACCACGTAGAGTCTATATGAATACAGACTTAAAAAGAACTTCTCTAATAAAAAAAAATGTTTTGTTTCTCAAATAGATAAACTCAAAAACTTTTATAAGCTTGTATCTAATCTGGCTCACAGTGAACTACTTCAAGCAAGCATTAGGCTACCTTTGTATCATCTCCAGATATGAGAAAGTTGCGTCCTTCGTTTCCCAATAACTCTTCCAAGCTTGCTTCCTCGCGTTTCCTTTGATCTATAGCTTTCAATTCATCATGTCTCTTCCTTGTGAACGGAAATGCATCAGCACCATAATCCTCAATGCATCCAATCAAGTCTTCTTCAACAGTTATGGCATCTGAGCATAATGGTACGAATGATGGGATTCGATCGACTCGGTATCTGTCAATAAATTTTCTGTGCAAATTTACATCAAATGGGACAGCTAGCCATGGCATGCGCTTGAAGTGTTCAGTAAATCCATCCTCTTCACGGTCAAAGGAGATGAAGATGATCTCTAGATTTTCCCCCCTCTTTCTCAGTGTTTCATAAAGTTCAACAAGATGGGGAGTGAAAGCTCTGCATGGCCTGCACCAGTTTGCAGAGAAAAATAGGCAGATGATTTTCCCATAGCATTCTGACACGGGTACCTAATATCACGATTCAAAGATGGCAAGCATTAGCTACAAAAACCAAGATCATAAACTAAGCAAATGGTATTTTTTTTAAGGTTAGATTTTACTTTTTTTATTTACTCAAAGTCTATTTGGATACAAACTCAAAAGAGTTTTTGAGAGTTTCTCTACTAGAAAAACCCTTATAAGCTTATATCCAAACAGACTATTAAAGGAAAAAAGAGAACCTATTGAGGATGGTTTAGAAGTTAAACTACTTAAACCATCAGTTGATCTCAAGTTGAATCTGTTAAGTGTTAACTAGCCTATTGTTTAATCAACAAACGCAAACGCACAAATAATAGGAGGATTATGCAGATACTAGCTACCTACCTTCCCTTCACTAGATAAAAGGAACTCAACACCCTCATCTGCAAATATCTTCAGAATATCATGGTTGTCAGTATATGTGGCTTCAAAATTTAACCCTGCCATCGGTGCTGAATAAAACAGGTGTTCTCTCTCTTTTTACAAGCTTTATTGAGACCTAATTGATCAAGAGAAAAATATGAGTGTTGAAAGTAACATACAATATGGACTATAACACCATATCAATAAGACTTTGAACTTTAATTCTCATGTTAGTTTATACTTTTGCAAATTGCAAAGGCAGATAGACCTAGAGACAAAAGAAGTTCAGATTTTGTGAAAGGGCATCTCTGGCTTTTTCTTAAATTTCACAATTTGTCTGAAGCTGTCCTTCAATTAAGATTGAAGGAAGCAGAGTGAAAAAAATATATTATATTATATCTATGTGAACGAAACTTGGAGGTCAGAAATTTCTATAGTAGAATAAACAAAGAGTACAAGAATTGGTGAACATGTATGAAACCGGATATAGGGGATATTCCTCAGGAGGATGCTTCAGTCTTAAAAACCAGACAAAGGGTTGCGTACACACCATCCTAATGGGACATCATCACTCTCTTAAAACCACATGCAAATGGTTTTGATGATCAATGATCCTAATAGAACAATTGGAAACTGCTTCATGCACATGAGGAGTCACATCTCCCAAGTCAGAATTAAAAGGTTAAAACTTTGTGGATCTAAGGTGTTGTGTGAGTACTGAGAAGCATTTCTCAACTCACAAGTAGCTAATCTTCATTCAAGTGGAATTTTAAAGGACCCAAAAGAAGGAAAAGAAGATTAAAAGCACCCTTATCTATTATTCTTTAGAGAATGACTTGATTTTTGCATCAAACCCGGTCATGAACTAATTAACAACAAAACATCATGCACCAAAGCATCACTTTTAAAAATATGTTTCTAAAATAAATTACCTAGCAGTTGCAGCTGAAGAAGAACAGCAGCGAATAGAGAGAGAGAATAAAGAGGTTGAGTCTCCAGGACGAAAGGAGATGATGCAGAGCGGTGGAACAGTGAAGAGCTTTAAATATGCTGCAATAACGTGATCAAGCCTCAATCAATACACGGACATAAAAAGTGGATTTTTTTTTTTATCTACATCATCATTTTTTATTGTTCTTCTATCTATAGCGTCATTAGTTACAAGTCTTTTTCTTATAACATATAACATAATTTTTACATTTCAAACGTTATTTCTTCCTTATTAAGGGTGCATTGTAGTTATTTTTTTTTAACAGTTTTATATATTTTTTTGGTAACAAGAAATTATTATTGCTTCCTTGTTTTAGTTATTTGATTTAGCAATGTGCAAAACATTTTAATATCAGAGAGTTTAATTTCTCCCATCATTCCTTTCTTTTTGAGTAAGCTTTCAAACATTCTATCAATTTAAACGATAAATAATATATGGTTAATTTTTTTTATAATAATTATTTTAAAATTAGATTACAAATGTTTTTTTAAGAAAAAATCTTATTAAACTCAGTAGAATTGTTATAAATAATAGATTCTCTTCAAATAAGTCATAAAGCTTTTCTTTTAAATATGTATATAATTGTATATAATGAGATTATTTGAGCAAATTCCTCGCTTACAGTTTCACATAGAAATGCAATCTGTCCCTACATGTGAGCTTGATAATTATGACACAACCAAGTTAAATGTTACATATTTTTCATTATCTTAGTGCTTCCACTTCCCTCACTATGGAAACTAAACCCTAATTTGAAACACATGATAATTTCACTTGGTAAACAAATATAATATTTTCTCACATGTGATACAGCAGAATCATTAGAAGTCCTTTCCTTTCTTTCATTTTAGTCTTAATTGCATTATTTGGCTTCTTCTATTATTTCGTTTTCTTTTGAAAACTAAATGCTCTGTAGATGGGGCATATGCTCTGCTTGTAAAACGGATATGCGGACAAAACGGAGGGCTATCATCTGCGGCTACGTATGTTTATCCAAAATTTTCAAGGCTCCTTTAACTAAAATATTTCTATCTTGTGTAAATTATGTAGTTTTGAAAATTCCTTTTCTGGTCACAGCGGGTCGAGAACTCAAGGTTACACGTGCTTAGGAACGGAAATAGATCAGATTTTAAACACAAATTATGGTTTGATTTTTTAAAGTTCGATCTAATTTAATATGTTTAATAAAAATATTATATTTATAAAAAAAGTATCAATATTAATTTTTTTAAAATATATTTTTTTATTATAAATTTATAAACTTACGATATGTGAGTGTACATCAACATACATGATTACGTATCAATTGTCCCTTTAACAAAAAATATTATATTTTTTTCTATATTTTTAAAATTTTAAATTTTAATAATATTAAATAAAGTATATTTTAAAAATAATTTTATTAATTTTTAAAAATCAAATTTGTTGACTTAATTAACATTAATAATTTAAATAGATTAATATATCGGACTAAACTTTAAAAATAATAGACCAGACTTATAAAAAAACTTATAATAAATTAAGTTCAGGCTTTAATTTTATATAATAGATTTAACTTATATATTTAAAGTCTGATCTAATTTAACCTATTTTAATTCTTATAATATTAATTAATACAATAGAGATGAAAGAGAGATCCGTCACTTATTATTAGTAAGCTTTCTTGATGAAATTTTATTTATAAAAAGGTGTTATATTTCATTTAAGAATTTATATACATATAAACTTATTAATAGATTAATTAAATAATAATAATACAATTCATCATTCAATAACTATTTAATTTTTCCTTGCATAATATACATCACATCCACACATGATAATATCCTTCTACTTGTTAAAATAAATAATAAAATGTGAGCCAACTTAACACGCTACAAAGTTATGGTCTAATTTGTTTCAAATATGGCTTGCATTGAACTCGTGTGTTAAGTGATTTGACCAGAATAAATATGTGAAAATTTGAAATTTGTCCTACAGAATATTATAAATAATAAATTCTTAAATAAATTGGCGACTTACGAGTTAAGATACAATTTAAATTTGATGACTATTATATAAATTCTGACATTTGTAACCTAAGTTAAATGTTTGTTTTATGAACTTTTTTTTTATTTTTTTATAAAAAATCAACATGTTTAATCCATAGAAACTAATTACCCCGACCCACGTATAATTTGATTGGTTTTCTGTTGTCAAACCAGTAAGCCAAACAAAATATATTAGCTTTTTAATATTTTTCTTGCATTTTAAATAAAATATTAAATACTTCCATCTTAAGATATTAATGTGTAGAATAATAATGAAATACGAACTTAAGACTTTATTTAATGTTTAGTTTATGAAATATCAAAAGTTTATTAAAAAGGACATTCAGTTATAATATTACTCGGAATAATATAGATCCAAGAATTAATTGGAGATTACAAAAAAATAGTAGCGATTTTTACAATGAGATGAGATAGATCAGATAAGGGCTTAAAAAGGTAAGGAATAAGTATATTAAATAGATAAATATGTACTGCGAGTGAAATAAAATTTGATAATAGAATCTCGAAATAAATAGTCTAAATCGGACGGTGCAAACCATGAGCTGACTCAGTGCTTATCCACTACTTGCAGGTTTAGAAAATGATACAGTATGACAATGACCCCTTTCCACCAATGGGAATGGAATAATTTAGCTTTTCCTTCGGGAGGCCCTCGAAAACATGTCTTTGATGTTATGTGATTCTGTCTCTAATTTTACCTTCTTTGCTTGTCTACCTTTCTTTGCAGTTGTAGCCTTTTTACCATCCTTCTGTTCCTGATAAAAATAGTAGTAAACACAAATACAAAACAAATATCAAATCTAAAGACTCATTATTCTAGTGTCCCAGCAAATACCTGAAATTCTTCACATAAAGCTTTGTTATTTCCTTCACCATTTACTTGTGCTTTTCCAGTAACCTCAAGTATATTTAACCTGCAAAAGAAAAATTTCCGTAAGGCATCTTAAAGAATCCCATTCCAACTCGACTATGGTTTCTCTTTTCAGTTATAACCACAAGGAATATGCAACTAAAATCTTTAAAATAAGACATTCTGAAAGGCTATACTTAAGATGGATACACAAAAGCTGCAACCAAGGCTCTTCCTTCAAATACTCTCCTAATATAGAGACCGCATCAATTACTGCATCAGTAACACAAGTACATTAATGCACAGCAAAACTGTCGCATAAAAAGACCAGAGGTGTATTTCAAGTATTACATCAACATTAATATTTACTAGGAAGGAATAGGGGGAGTATTATCAAGGATGATATTGGTGCTTCGATTATTTAAATAAATAACTGCACGTGAAGCATCAATATACATGAGTATTTTACTCATGCACCAATCCAGAATGAGAGGAAGTGTGTTCTTAATTGGTAATCCCTCAAATACGAGGGAAAAAATAGTAACCACTAGTATGGTTTTCACATGGTAGAAAAGTGGCCTATTAACAAAAAAGGATAAATTCAGGTATCCTATTTCCATCTCCCAAATTTGACAACTACCAGAACCTGTAATTATTTGTTCCAATGCATTATATTGTATAATATATCTGTCCATTTTAACATGTAATTACACATAAAAGAAACGTCAGTTCCACACGTTTCCATTGTATTGTATCCCTCAGTCACTCTTTTACATGCATAGACAGACACAGTACAGTCAAAGGCATAAATCTGAGAGCAGATGCACAAGCACACATTTCAAGGGAGCCTTTTTTCATATACAAAGTATTTTTTTTTCTTCCAATTTAACCTCAACTTAATAAATTTCTCCGAAAACCAACATAATGGTAATAAACACTTTACATGTGTCTTTCTCTGATTGAACAGCATAGTTTTTGTCCAATTTGGGTAGTGTCTGTTTTAGCTGACAAACCTAAAATAAGATAAATCAAATTAACAAACTTTGATACAGGTAAATAGTTTTCTAGCAATCAAATCAAAGATGACCAAAACATATGCCCAAAGATAAAGAGTTTAAATGCAAACCCTCTACAAATCAATTCAAGTATTTCCCATGTTGCATTATAGATGGATACTTGTATTAGCAAAATTCTGAAGATAGGCTGTAACTCTCTAATGATGCAAAGTTAAAAGGGTGATGAATAACCGATACATGTTTCAGTCTTGGTTACATTTTCATGAAAAACATCACATGCATATGCTAAATATCATACCTCAATAAAAGTACATGGAGGATGTGATAATGTGATTTGGTGTGCAGCTAATTGTGTGTACTAGTAGCTTTCCCTGAGAGGGAAGGGATTGGGAAGATTAAACATCATATAAACTAAATGATAATTACAGAAAAATAGACAAACCTTATAGCACAGCCAACGCATAACCTTTGAGTCATCAAGTCTGAAGAATTTTGAGGATCCAACTTCTAGATATGCATAAAGATAGAAGTCCATGAGAATTAAAAACAAGAAAATGGTAAACAATGCGCTCACCATTCTTTTCTGTGATTACCTTTATAAAAAACATAAAGGCAAGAACAAACTTCTCAATTTATTTCAGCAATATCTGCCCAATAAATTACTTATGAAAAGAAAACTTGGCGAACTTTCAAACTCAAAAGAGCACAAGAATAGGGTTACCTTTGACTTCAGAAACTACTTGCATACAGTTCTCCACAACAGACATTAACTGCATATAGTCTGGATACCCATCAATAAACAAGATTTCATCCAATTGCCTGAACCTCCCAAGATCATCCCCTTTCTGTTTGCATTTCAAAACCAGTGATATTCAAAGATATAATTATTTATTTATTTATTTGGAGAAAGGGAGGGGGGCGGGGGGGACAATACAATCTAGAGTTCTTGAACTAATTAATCCATTCACAAACCTAAAAATATAAGTTCTGTGGACCTCACAAACAAGGGATATCTTGGATCTTGTGTAGAGGTTCTCTTGTGTATAAACCTATAATTACTTGTCTGGGTGCTTTTATACATAAGATGTCATACGTACAACTAAAACATTTACTCTGTTTCATCAGCAATAGTTGACCAAGGATTTACACAAATGGAAAAGACTTTGGAAATAAGAAATGTCTTCCAATTCCCATGGTTCAAATGAAACAACAAATTAATTACCTTCATTCTAGCTTCCTCAAATATGGGCAACATGATGAATACAGGATCAATTGGCGTGGATAAATACAGCCGACCATCTGTTGGGGGACAAAAACAATAATCATGAAAAGAATCAAAAGAATTTATGCTTAAAGTATTGTTTTACTATAGTTTTTCATGAGTGGAAAACCTAGAGATAAGAGGCTACTAACATAACAAGAGAAATCACAATGCTTTCATGCAGACAAAGAACAAGAGAATTTAAAATTTTTCAAATTGGCTAGAAGCACAACAAAGTGGCATAAGGCAGAGCAGAAACACAAATATCAATTTTAAGAAAAGTAGAAGTAAAAAATTTCTTGAGACAAGAGGTCAATGAGAGAAACTAATGTACCTCACGTGATATAAACATAAATAACAACGTAAAACGCATACTTTGCATCTTAGATAATCAAACATTTACCTTCACTTACATAATCTCCCAAAAACCAAGATCCATACAAGTTCTTAAACCACTGAAGTTCTTGAAGCATTCCATTTACAAACAGATATTGTGTTGCATTTCCTGTCAAACAAATGAAAACATGTATGAAAAAAGCCTAGAGAGAGAGGGAGCGCACATTCAAAGGCCTCAATAAGGTCTAATCCCTCGAGAAAGACTTACAGCAAAGTAGTGCGACATTATTAGCTAAACTATAAAATTTGAATCAACACATTAAGAATTAGAAAAATTACAATAAATCATATATCCATATAAATTTAAATATGTAACAAAACATGATAAGCACACAAAATAATGTACATTCTTTGAATTACCAGATTTAGGATGGCGGAGCAAAATCATCTGTCCCAGACCATTTCCATCTGAACCAGGATCTACACTCGCACAAATAATAATTAAATAATATGCATTAACACGTGATTGCAAACTACTGCAAAAATCATTTAAAATAAAAATATTCCCAAATGCATAAATAATAATCAGAATGTGGTCGCGTTGAAATAACAAATCAGCAGCTATAACTTACCGAGACATATACTCTAACCATATAAAGTAGCTGCATATTATTGTTGAATTTAATTTTGGTATTGTTTTTTCTGTTCATATGTTTTCTCAAAGACGTGGCTATAATAGTTGAGATAGAAATAAATAAGAACATAGAATGTTAAAAAGAATGGAAGAGTAGAGATGTAAATTTACCGGGCGCGACGAGAAGACGTGGTTCCTGAACGTCGTCGCACCAACTCATGGGTTTAGCAGAAGACGAATGAAAAGCCCTAACACTACCAATCACCGATCGATCCCTTCCCCGGTAACTGTAACTGTAACGGAATACAGTTAATTTCACAAGTGAATTGGGTAGAAAGAACAACAATGGAACAAAGAGAGAACGTTCTAGTTTGCATAAAAATAAAAATAGTAGGGCACTCACATTTTAGAGTGAAGAGAGTTTCCAGAGAGCGACGAATGAGAGTGACGCTGAATCGCGAAATGGAGCGCGCGCGGGAATGTGAGAGACACACACACTCGCGCCATTAAAATCACACGCTCTCTCTATACCAACCGGACCAAGGCCCAAGGGCTTAGGGTTGTTTCAACCGGGTCCAAGTTTTAGGAGGGTAGACCAATGAAAAAAATATCATTTTTTAATTACTTGAAATTAATAAAAAAATTCGAGCCTGAGGAATTATTTATTTATTGTTAGTTTTTTTTTTTTTTTTCAAGATTTTTTTATCCCCATCCAAATATCAAGAGATTTTTTCAACTTTCATATATTACTTAAACAATTGAGTTATATATTTTTTTAAGAAAGTTTGAGGTTACAATACAATACACTAATTAAAAAAAGTACAATACATAAATTAAAAAATAATAAACTTTTTATTTATATATATATATATTTTTGTCATTTATTTATTACATTGACAATCCACAGATTATTTTTAATAGAATAGTTATTAATATTATACAAACAAATAGAAAGTTTGAAAAGCAGAAACAAAAAGAAATGAAGAGAAGTGAGTATCTCCATCCCATTCCCAGGAAAAAGACGTAGGCTTGCATGTGTTGATCCAAAACCAAAATCATCTATTTAGAAATAGAAACAGAGTCATCCAAACTCATAGATGATGAGTAGAAATGATCAGCATCAGCATGACCGTCAGTCTCCCTCAACTCCTCAATCTTTGCCACTGCCTCCCTCCAACCCCACCTCCTCTCCAAACTCCACTCACAGCACCCCATTCCAATCCTCAGCAGCTTCAGTATCTCACCCTCTCCACTCCCTCTCTCGGGAATATCCTTATCAAGCACCTCACCACTCCACCCTTCTCTCACAATGGAGTTCACCCATGCAGCCAAATCCTCACTTGCATCCTTCCCATGCCTCAGATAATTGGCAGGGAACCTCCCCGTCAGAAGCTCCAGAATCAGGATCCCCAAACACCAAATATCACTCTTCTCGCTTGGTCTTCCAAACTGGCTCACCTCTGGAGACTTGTATGCCACCATGAACTGCTGAGCGTGGCTCTTGTCCACCACTGGAACCACTCCATACTCTGCCAAACGAGGCTCCAGTGAATGGTCCAACACAACATTCGATGATTTTAGATGACCGTGAGGTAAGGCTTGGTTGGGGAACTCTTCGTAAAGGTAAGCTAACCCTTTGGCCACTCCTTTTATGATCTTCAAACGAGTTGGCCAGTTCAACACACAACCACCTCTGCCTACAAAACATTGCCCAAAAGAGACTAATCAATTTGTATCGCTATTGCTAGCTTATCATAATTCATGAATCATGATAAATAAAAAAAACAATGATGTGATCATACCATGAAGATGACTAGCCAAGCTGCCATTTTGAGCAAAGTCATGCACCAGAAGCTTCTCTTCTTTCCCGTAGTAAAATGCAACAAGAGGGAGTAGATTAGGGTGTGACAACCTTCCAAGCCTTTTCATGTGCTCATAAAACTCTTTCTTCCCAACGTTGTTCATGTGCTTGAATCTCTTCACCACCACAACTGGTCCGTTCAGAAGCAAGGCCTTGTACGTGGATCCAAAACTGCCACTCCCCAGAACCTCAGCTGAGGCCCTAAGCAAGTCTTGCAATTCAAACGCCCCCTTTTCGCTGCTAACAAAGTTCAACCCCCCATCTTCACTCTTATTGGGTTCTCCTGTCACAACAATGGATTTGCCCTCACTACTAGAAACTGAATTAACGCTATGGGGTTGTGTATCCCCGACCGACACGTGTTTCTTTCGACGGTAACGGATGATCAGGAGTGCTAGTATTAAAGCCAACACAATCACACCCACCACTACAATAGCTGTTAAAAGGATGTGGTTTTTCTCATTTTTTTCGTTTTTGCTCGAAGTTGGTGGGGGGGGACTTCCCATGCAGGGGCTTAGAGGTTCTCCACATAGACCTTCATTGCCTGTTGCACAAGAAAAATTAGATAAAGCATATATCTAAGATGATAACACGGAGGAAGAAGGAAAAAATATGTAACAGATTTCTGAGCATGAATTGGTTATCATTGACTTGTTGAGTTTGTTTAGCTTTATTGTTGCACAGTTTCTTATACTTTTTAAGTTGTCATTTCGATAGTTAGATTTCCTTGATTAAGACTTCAACATGTACACTGATATCAAAATGTCATTGGATTTGCCAAATAAGCCTAAAGTCAATTGTAAAATGAAGGTTGAACAAACAGCAACGGTATCAGAAGAATGTTCAAATGTACAAGAAAGTTTATCAATGATCCATGAAAACTAGAGAGGGGAAAAAGGGTTTGGTTTAAATTTAGGAACGCAGTAAAAAGAATATGTTCAAATTTAACAATGAACTTGGATATTTGTTTTAGTTTGATTTAATGATATCATAAGAACAAATATCAAATAAAAACTAGGTATAGCTATTGAGTATTGAGTAGAGATGGTTATCAACTTACCAGCAAATGATTTTGGATCCTTGTTGCTTAAGCTTTCTGGTATTTTACCCTCCAACTTGTTGTTAGACAAATCAAACACTCTGAAATCCCTCTGTTGAAATTCCGGTATATTGCCTCCAAAACTATTTCCATGCAAGTCCACATCCAAAAGTTTAGGCAATTTAGCAAGGGATGTAGGAATATGACCCGTGAACTCATTTTCAGCCAAGAACACTCTCTTGAGACGTATCATGCCTTCAAAAGCATCATCTTGAATTTCACCAGAGAATTTATTATTGCTCAGAAACAATGCCCTTAAACTCACAAGCTTCTTGAATGCAGGCATTGGCCCCTCAAAGTTGTTGTTAATGACACTAAAACTGTTCAAATTGGACAACTCAAGCAACGTGTCCACGTTAATGGTGCCACTTAGTCCCATGTTCTCTAATCTCAGGCCATGAAATTTTTGATTGAAGCACAATATACCAGTCCAGCTGCACAAGTCGATTGATTGGTTCCCCCAGTTGTTTAAAGCATCAGCTGTGGAAAAGTGGCTTTTGAAGTTCATCAGAACTTCAGCATTGTCAGCCAACGATGGCAAGAAACAAGTAAAGAGCATGAGAAGACAGTAATATTCTCTTTTATGTGCCATGATAATGGAGATGAAAACTGAAATAGGTTTTGGTTGGTGAGTTAGGAAGCAGAGAGAATGAGGAAAATTGAGAAATGAAAGGCATGTGCATAAGAAACCAAGACTTAATGGTTTATGGGGTGACATTGACAATGACAAGGTTTTTCCTACAAAGAATGAGCTGGTTAGGCCGGCCTATGTATAAATGAGTGTTTGGACTTCATTTCCAAAGATACTTTTGTTCAATGGTTTTTCTATGTTGTCTGTGGCCTGGTTAAAAGCTGTCTTTTCTTGTTAATGGTGAGGGTGATGTCTTCTATCACATTGATTCTCTCTAAAATAAGTTAATAACAATTTTACGTGGCTTTTATTTGTCTGCTGTGCTTGTTATGATCTAAATTTACTAGACCAAATGCAAAGAGATTGAAATCACTCATTCCCTGCTCTCTCTCTCTCTCTTCTCTTTGGCTCACATGCCATTTTTTAATTGGAGAATAGAGAAGTGAACAAGAAATGAGGTCAAATAAATCTGTTCCCGTGATATAGCCGTAACTTGTATGCAAATAAGTTTCAGGCCATAGTTGATTTAAAACAAGGATTCAATAGTCATGCATTTTCAAGATATTTTTTTTTTTACATAATCAGTAAAAAATTATTACTGGTATAACTTTTAAATTATAAAAATTAATAAATAAATAGTTTGTGAGATGATATTGTAAAATTATTTTTCTTTGTCTGGGTATAACTTTTTTTCACCTAAAGTGCTATGGTAGAGACTGTGGGATTCACATTTCTCTCATTTAGATTATTTTTTTTGGGTTACCTTATAAACCTTGCTTGTGATTGTGAATAGGAATTTTAGAAAGACTTGGGAGAGATTTTTGTCACTTTTGTCTTCTTTAGAAGGCGTTTTTCTATATTTTTCATTCTTCTATTTATTCTTATGGTCTCATCACTTTTATGAAGGGTTGAACTTTTCTTTTAATTAATTTAATATTAATCAAAATTATGTTCTTTAAGGATTGAGTATAAGCAGTTTCTATACCTTTCTCCTTTTAAGCATTTATATTCTGCTGTCTCTATTACCAAAATACTACTTTGTTTTGTTAATCGTGCAAAATAGCTCATTGTCCAATGATTTTTCTTTTTTGGCTTCGTTCAATTTACTTAATTACTTATACCCTGTAGTAGCTTTCAATCACTAAGAACGAAATTGATAGGGAAAAGAAAATCGCAGGAAAAGCCTGATCTGTTTGAAGAATAGTCGTTTATAGGCTAATATCATCAGAAAATCAATTACTTCTCACTTCCCCTTAAAAACGTGCCAAAGACAAACCAAATGAAAGTATAGAGATACTTTGAAAATTCTATAACGCTGATTTACAATCCATTTGGGTCTTATTTAACTTCTGTGTGATCTGTTATATAATATCGAAGATTAAGTTCGATTTGTTTGTTTATTATAAGGGTTTTTTTCCTAAGGTTTGGCCTGCCTTTATACAAGTGTGATATGTCATATTATTCTATTTAAATGCATATTCTATTTTTTTTCCTTCTGTTCTTTTTTTAATTCTCAGTTTTTTTAAAATAAAATATTGTTTTTATTTAATTATTGTTTAAAAGGTTCAAAATGACATTAACTTTTTTTTTTGTCAATTATACATTTACTTTTTGTACCAACCTGACTCTAACTAAAAATGATAACATAGATCTAAATTTAGAAAATATATGAAAGACCAAAATGAACATTTTAAAAGATAAATAAATCATAAAAAAAATAAATAACCAAAAATATAATTTATTACTTTTTTTTCTACATATATTTATCTTATTTAATTTTATAAATGAGTTATTTTCACTGTTCTGCATTCTTTTTCCACATTTTTAATAAAATATCTTTTCTTTTTCCTTTTCTTTTTATAAATGGTAAAGGCTGCAACTTTTTAATGACTTTGTTTGATGAAAAATTAAAAAGAAATAAAAACTAGTTTCCTCTTAATTCACTTATTTCAAAAGAAAAAAGATAATAATGAATTTGTGTACTAAACATATTTATAACCTTTATGACCAGTAAACTTGTCATTCTAATTAGAAACAGCTTTTTAACAAGAATTATAAACAGTTAAAACCAAAAAATACAATGCATATTTTATATATTTTTTTGTTACATTACATATTGTAGATATTAAAACTAGCCGAACAATGATGTTTAAATTATTATTAAAATAGTGACAATATCATATAGTAAATATTAATATTTTTATTGATAACAATATTATTAATAAACAGCCTGTTTATCATATTTAATGGGCTTTTCTATAAACACTTAACTAAAAGGACTTTAAAAAAAAAACTCAAAAACTAACATTTTTACTCAATAAGTTGAGCCAAATAAGATCTTAATGAATTAAATTGATTGGTATTTATCAAAGTTAAAAATTAAATTATTTTTTTAATAAAAATAAAATTGATAAATAATGACTAAAGTCAACGACTTGTTTGTTTTACGATATCAAATGTGAAATTGATAATCTAATATCGTAAATAAACACTTAACTTCAAAAGAAAAAAAAATTCATAAATCAAATTGTACAAAGTTATCTTACTTGTAATATTAAAAACTAAATTATAGTTATATATATATAATTAGTTAGGCATATGAAATTTCATACACATGTCTTCAGATTTACACGATATTATTTATTTGGTTTAATTGTACTTTTGGTCCTCCTAATTTAGTATAGGAGTAATTTTGGTCCTCATAATTTGAATTGCTTAATTTTTGTCCATAAATTTAAATAATGGGCAATTTTAGTCCTAAAAATAATTTACCATCCAAAATTGAACAGACGTTAATAATGTGAATTTTATGCTAAATAAACATTAATTATATATCATTTAATTTCTTACGTGTCAAATTATTTAATATTCAAATTTTAAATTCAAATAACATTGCAAACAAAATGAAAAAGGTATTGATATCAATCGTAGTGAGAATTTTTCACTAAAATAGAATTTTTTTTAAAAAAATTTACCAAAAAAACACCTGTACCAATTTATTTACCCAAGTAGCACCATTCACTATTCACATTCAGAATTCGATTACCAGGGAATCGAATAATGAGCTGTTAATTTTTTTTTTTTTGCATTTTGGATTTGAGCATGGTGTAAAACTGGATCCAGAAGCCTGTTCTCCTTACAGCACTTGCAGAACAGCCTGTGCTCCTTTTAGAACAGGTTGTTCTGGATGTAAAAATACACACATGACGATGGACCAAAACGGGTTGTTCTGCTTGGACGTTCCAGTTTCAAAATTAACAGACTACGCGTGCAAGCAGAACGGTCCGTTCTGCTTGAAGAACAGACCGTTCCAGTTGCAACATTAACACGTATAAGAAAGAGAAATATAAAATAAATGAATTTAAAATTTTTAAAATTTGGCCGATCTGAACAACATACTCAACAGCAAACCAATGCTCACAAAGGAAACAAGCCGAGTACGAACAGCACTGATCCACCACCTACAAATAAACCCTCTGAAGGAAACAACATACATGGTGTCATCAATACTATTGCTAGCGGCTTCGCCGGAGGGGGATCCTCTAATTCGGCTCGAAAACGACATCTCCGCAGTGTCTGTAATGTTAAAAACTTTTCCAGTTCGAAATTCTAATATATAATTAATGTTTATTTAGCATAAAATCTATATCATTAACGTCTGTTAAATTTTGGATGGTAAATTATTTGTGGGACTAAAATTGCCCATTATTTGAATTTATGGACCAAAATTAAGCAATTCAAATTATGAAGATCAAAATTGCTCTTACACTAAATTAGGAGGACCAAAAGTGTAATTAAGCCTATTTATTTTGAATCTAAATCCTTATAGTTTTATTTTTGGACATCTACCAAAATGTGAAACCGATAAACAATTATAATAAATAAACACTATATTTCAAAAAATATATATTTTTTAATCCCAATCTGTACCAACACATTTACAAAAGAAAGTGTGAAAATTTTTTTGAAGTTCCTTAGAATTTGTTCTATAGGAGCAAAATTGAGTATGAGTTGCTTAATAATGACATAAAATAATAGGGATCACCTGCGTCCTAGCACTTCTCTAGAAGCATACAAATGTATGCGCCTTTGTCTATGCAACTCTTTATTGAGATTCTTACACCCCTCCAAAACCCAAGCGTCTCCCCCAAACTTCGCGCCTCCCCGCGTGCCTGTCGTTTCGTGTGTCACACCCATTTAATGCCACCCACCATTTTCACTACACGTGTCCTGAAAAGACATAACCTTTCGGCGCCACCTAGCGTTAAATTCCCCCAGGAATTAATAGTGTTCAGCTCTTTCACTCTTTCATCACTCAGAGCTTGGGGGGCTTATGTACCAACCTGACTCTAGCCGACCTGAGCCGAGTTCATTGTACCAACCTAACTAGAGCCAACCTCGGCTATACCCACAAATTAATCCACCCCGAGGTGACCTCTTAAGCAAGCCAAGATGACGTCAGAGAATGCTGACATATCATAGAAGGCATCATTAAGATACCTCGGTAAGTTAACGAAAACAAGGACGAGTAACCACCCTCAGAAGATAACCATATGGCAGTTGCACAGTTATTCGGACAACTCCCCACAGGTAATAATATAATGATATGCAAAACTGGAGAACCCAGGCTAACTTGATCGTCGGAGTCCTTTTTGCAAGTACATCCGAGACGCTCAAACAGAGAGACCGAAGAGAAGGAATCTCATCTTGTCAATCAACCTCGTACGCTCTCAACCAAGCCGAGCAGAAGAGATGACTTATCCGAGTTAGGAAGACGACCTAGTTCGTGTAAGTACACTTTTCATCTAAGTTACAATTAATTTGGGCATTGACAACTAATACTATTTATTGGGGAGTAAAACTGAAAAAAAGAGTATGTACTAACTACTAAATGAATTATTATGTTTCTTAATTTTTGTAGAACAATTTTAAATCACTATTAAAAAGGAATGATGTAGTGTATTAAGACTTTAAATTAATTGATAAGTTTATTAGTAAACAAGTTAATAGACTTGCAGATTAATGGATATTAATTGAAAAAACGAATGAATTTGTGTACTAAACATATTTATAACCTTTATGACCAGTAAACTTGTCATTCTAATTAGAAACAGCTTTT